AATGCTGTTTGCTTATTTCCAGCACCGCAGCCTGTTTTCACACATGTGCAGACTGAAAATTCCAAAATAAATCCGAGTAAGAGTATACAAGCGCCAAGGAATCAGGTTGATGAGCTAAAATCCAGCTCTTCTTATCAGATTTCTTAATAGGATTTCTAGACATTACTCCGATCTAAGAAACCATATGAATAATCAGATAACTGCAGAAATCTGAATATGATCGGATTATTAATTGCATGTTAACTCACTCATTTGTTCCCAGTCTACCCCTGTGCAAGGCTCCATCATTTCATTTATCTCATTATATGCATGGATAACAAACAGTCGTTTTTTTTCAACAGGATAAGTTATTCTTTATTGAATTTTTCCTTCATGGACTCCATAGAACAACACAACAGAATTTCTGGATAAATTTGGTGATTCTTGATTCTTCAGCATGGTCATATCCATTTTCATCATCAACATCATTGAACGCTAAGAATATATTATACACAATAAATACAGCACAACCCAAAGGCATTGAGAGTTTCACGAGACATACCAAACACCACTAACAACAGAGTAGTTGAACAGCATATTCATTTAGGGAGAGAGGAGTGGGACAGAGCAGAGAGAGTGAGCGAGAGAAAGAGGAAGAGAGAGAGAGAAAATAGGGAGGGAGAGGCGTGCTAATCAAGGTTCACAGGCCGGCAGTCTAGTTCTATTCAGAAGCGAAAACTGTTTTTGCTTTTACAACCATGGAGGACTTAAAAAGTGTGCAAATATTAAACGAGATTCAGTCATAAATTGGGGCAAGCTAGACCTGAGCATCTGATCATGCATGACTACTGAGAAGCTCATCATAGCACTGTCTACTAAATGAATGCACTTACTGAAAAATACTGAGGGTGCGGAGTATATGGTTGTCACGTCCTCAGCCTTAATACAGCATTTAAGCAATATAGGTCTTCCTGACAAGTGGATTACTATATCTGTACAATCTCAGTGTTTCAGTGCTTACAACATACAATAACGGGTAGACTGTAAGTCTTATACAAGTAAATCTGGGTTAAAGAAAAACTCCAGCATTTTTCAACTTAACCTGTATCTGCTTCATCTGCAGCATATAGTCAATTACTACCAGTAGCAGCTCTAGCTAATAAGCGACATAATCAGCTGATTAAGTGGCCACCAGGGGACCCCCTAACAACTTCTGGGTTATTGTATTATCATTACGTTGTCTAAGATGTTCGAGTAAGAAAAAGTTAAATTAGTTAATCATGTCGTAAAAAGCAGCGTATGCATCTGGAGCCAAACGACAGAAAAGAAAAACAGAAGATGAGGAGAAAAAGCTTGAAGATGAGAGTATCATTTTTATAGTGTTTTTGGGATAAAGTAGTGGATTTGGGGTCTGTCTAACAAAGCTGGTTTACTTTAGACAGGCTTTCTGATCATAATTCAGAAACAAACACAGCTGCAGTTATCTCCTGTTATATATATATATATATATATATATATATATATATATATATATAGTGGTTTACAAATGTCAAACATGAGAAACGCTCACCAATTAAAGAAAAAGAAATCATACTTCCTAAATATGTAGAAAGTAAAGCATTTACAACAATAAAAAAGATGCTGACACAGACCCCTCGATCGAGAATGCTAAAAAGGTTATCTGTAATTTGAACTGTAATATATTAGAACCCCAAACAAGCATCTAATCATCAGCAATAGACAAATTAGCCAGTTATAAATGTACATATTTTAGACAGCTTGTGGTAGTCATTGCAGCTACAACAGCTAGCGAGATGGGGTGCCCCCAACACAAGTTGGTCCACAAAAGGTTACAGTCAGCCCTGTTTACCACAGACAGTAATTTCAGAACTAACATAAATGAACAAAAACCCACTGACTCTAGACATGTTTATAATGAAAGCCAATGGGTAGCCAATTAACTTCATTCTAAGCAAGTTTTGAGGGGTTTTGTTCTTTTGCTGAGTCAGAATTACTGTATGTGGTAACCAAAGGTGAAATACAGATAAGGCACATAACGATTAAGTTGATAAATGCTTTGAAGTTGCATTTGAATGGGCAATTCAGGTTGATCCATAGTTGTAGCTGATTTCAAAAGTATCTATGTCATCATGAAACACCAGTTATGTTTGACATCTGCATTCTGAGTGACCAGTCAAGCAGAAATAATTGTCTGTCCTGGCATTTACAGGATGATCAAATCATAAAAAATATTTGCACCACTTTGTTAGTCAGCATTTTAATCACTCCAGCTAATGCATATATGGATGCTGTATCTTCCATAGATTGGCTGTATAACATAAAAAATTAAATCACTAGGTTTTGCATGGCATGTACATTTTTATTTATATTTACATATATTTGCAAATATATTTCAATATAACTAGACTATAATAAATCGATTTGTGCTTCAAACTCTTTTTGGTGATTACAAAGAGATGCGTATTTTCGACGTGTGTGTGACAGAGAGAGAGAGATAGAGAAAGGGGGAGGGGTAGAAAGGGAGGAGGGTAAAATATTGATGAAACTGAAACTGGCACATCTATCTACCAACAACTCAACACACAGGATTGGTTTCCTGTCTGGTGCCCACACTACACAAACAGAAGTTGAGTTTTAGTCATCCACTTGCATGAAACAGCACTAACACACTCGAGCGGCATAGTAGAGGAAGCATAGTTATTAGGAGCTACTCAAACCATGCTAACGTATTAGACACGTTCTTCTCATATTACAGAGAGAAGAAACAAAACTCAGTCTGAAAGGAAAGAAAAAATACAGTAAAATACTCTTTTAACAAAGGCTTTGCTGGTCAGCGAAATGTCTCTGGTCCCACCTTGAGTTTGGTCATGTATAAACCTATTGCTGACAGCAGAACTGGGCCCGCTCTCTAAGCTCAAACTCATTCAGATCAATGCTCTATCCCACCGATGAAAAGAAAAAAAAAGAAGAAAAAAAAAGAACGAGAACTTATAGAAACGGAAACAAAATGAAACAGATGAACGTATAAAATTCTGATACAACTTTAGCGAATATCTATGTAACTCGTACCAAACCACTATAGGTAAAAATTCTCAAGGAACCACTTCCTTTTGGGTTCAGCGATGATTTTCGTCACCGGTGAACTTCTCGGAACATAACATAGACTACAGTGGAATAATCCCATACATATCTTTAGGAAATATTTGTATATATTTGTTCATATTGATATTTATACAGCACAGACAAATACATTCTCTCAAGTTTAGCATTACTATTGTCAACATCATCAATTCAAAATTTATATAGCAATAATTTATAATCATATTTTTTTGTCTTTTACATATTTTGGTGTGTATTCATCTGATCATACCTTTTTTTTTCATTTTTATTATTTTTTACATCACGATAATGAACAGCACACTGAATTTTTCCCTTGCTTTCTCCCTATGCCCTACTGTCTCTCTGTAGTTATTGGCCCCCTCCCCTTCCCTCCCCCCAACTTTTCGTCCACAGACATATGCACAAACAGACAGAAAGGGAAGAGTGTGGGTGTATGGGTAGGGTTCAGGCACCACACTCCATTAATCACACGATCACCCTCTTTCTGTGAAAAGAGAGAGAGAAAAGGAAAGAGGTTGAGAGGAAAAGAAGTGAACGGATTGGAAAGAAGAGTAGATGAGATCGGAGGAGGAAGCAATTAAAAAACATCAGTGAATGACTGGCTATTAGCAAAAGCAGCATTTCGTAAGAGGCTGCCTTGATAAGGAAAAGAAGTAAGAAGCAAGAACGTGGCATTTACTCCCACCACCGTATTAGCATTAACATTAAGCTTTCAGTGCAGACTGAACCATAGCAACCATAGCTGTGCAAGACACCCACGGCCCCAGACTAATAATTATCACATCCCCCTTCAGCACTCACCAGCCTCCATCCGCCTCTTCCTCTTCTCCTTCCTCACATCTGGTTGGAAAAGGAGGTGGGCGCCCCCTGCTGGTTGTAGCCGCCCTGCTGGTTGTAGCCGCCCTGCCCGTAGTTTCCCCCCTGGTTGTAACCCTGCTGACTGTACTCGGGCTGGTAACCCCCCTGGGAACCAGCGTAGGGGTCCTGCTGGCCATAGCCCTGCTGGCCATAGGATTCGGGGGCCGGCTGCTTCTCCTGGGCAGGTGGGGGGCGCATGAAAGGGGCGATGATGCCGGTCTCCTTAAACACGAACCACAGATTGCCTGCCCACACAAACAGGTTCAGGAAGCCAAAGACCTGGAAGTACAAGAGCACAGATCACAGGTTTAACGCTGTCAGAGGTGTAACGATACACTCGGAACACAAAACTGTGCTCACGATGATACGTCCACTATTCAATAGTTTCATGATATTTGAATGAAAAAAAAAAATTACTTTATCCATATTATTGCAGAAACTACTAAAGAGCACCTGCATGACTCCGAAGACTATTGTATTAATGTTATGTGGATGAATAAGGCAAAAATGGATCTTTATGGCTTAAATGAAAGATGTTATATTTGGCAAAACTGAACATGCATTCCAGCATAAGAACCTCATCTCTGCTTTGAAACATGGTGGTGGCAGTATCATGGTTTGGGGGTGTTTTGCTGATATTAGACCTGGGCAGCTGTTTTAAGGAGCTATGAATTCTGGATTGTAGCAGGAAATTCTACATGGGGCTATTAGGGCATCCATCCGTGAACGGAACCTCAGAAAGACAACAATGCTAAAAACACCTGTTAGTCTACAAAGAATGGTCAAAACAGAAGAAATGTTATATTTTGAAATGGCTTAGTCAAAGTCCAGACCTTAATCTAAAAGAAATGTTAAGGCATAACCTAAGGTGTGGCAAGAAAGCCCACCAACATAACAGCTGAAGCAGTTCTGTAAGGAGGAATAGGCCAAGATTCCCCTAAGTCAACGTGCATGGCTGTTCAACAGTTATAGGAATCATTTGGTTGAACTCATTGTTGCTCAAAGGGCTCACACCAGTTCCTTAAAGCAGAGGTTCACATACTTTTGCCAACAAAAAACATTTAAAGACCTGGCCATGTTTTAGGTCATATTTATGTAGAAATACACAAAACATTAAGGGGTTCACAAACATTCAAGCAGCACTGTACAGATATTCAGATATTCTAAGTCAGCAAGCTAAAAAACTACTACAGTTAATATTAGCTAGCTAGCCAATTTTAATGCGTTAAATAGCTATCTAGCTAATTATGAGTGTTGCTTCTGCTGTTGTTCTGTTAGACATGTTATTGAGAATAACATGTATAATGGATTGAGTAAATAAATAAATAAATGTTGATTCATAAAATATTCAAATATTCATAAGTCATTCATTGTGGTGCCTCAGTTGAGAAAAAGTTTTTTCTCAACAAGTCTTGTTTGGCTGGAATAATTGCCCAGTGGCATTGCAAAGATGGCTGCAGAGTGAACAGACTTTACTATAAGAACTTTGCGTAAGGTCAACACTGTTTAATCTCATCAAACAGAGGTATGCAGCTCTTACTGTTGTGATCACAATGACATTTGATGGTGTGGTTGATGGTAAAGACAACCATCACAGAATAAACTATTCTAGTAATTTTTACACTTTCAGCTCCTGCACTGTGTAGGCTAATGAAGTCATCCAAGGGATTTTTTGGGAAAAAATGTTTGAATGTTTCAGAAAGTTTGCCCACGTAGGTTATGGAATCAGGATTTGACTGTAATATTTTATGAATGTTGACAAAACCTTTTTCTGTTCAAGCAGAAAATTTGTTTTATCATTACTTGAAATGTTGTGAAAACCGACACACATTGTTAACATTTTTTTCTAGATAAATAATGCATTTATGCCTAAATTTAGTGTTGTTTGACAGAATTCCCTCACATGCCTCCTACAGCAAACACAAACAGCATGGTGGAGAAATATAGCTGGACTGAGGAGAACACGAGAGTGTTTTCCAAATGAATGTTGCCACTTTTCAGTTCATCCAGAAAAGACCACAGCTCTTTCTAAATGGAAAGTGCTCAAGAAAGCTCTATATGGCAGAGAAACCAGATCTCCCACTTAACGGTGAAGGAGGAAAAATAATGATGAAATTAAGAATAAAATAAAATAAGGAAAAATCTCCTTATCAATGTGTTACGTGGAAGACAGGAAACGTTAAAAACCTTTTTTTATGAATAAATCAAAACTTATGTGATTATATTTCTTTGCAGGAAATTATTATTTTATTTGCTAAAAGTCCGTTTGGTGGAAACTATTTTTTAACACATCTGATTGCTTGAAATTTGTGCTCAAAGTCATTGGAATCATAGCTACAGTGTATTGTAATTTGACAAAATTATACAGTCCAGTTTAGTGATCTCCCTGCTCTAAACATCAACTAAACCTAAGAACTAATTAATGAGCTGTTTGTGCAATAATACAGTGCTTGTCATTTTCCAGACTCTAGACTGAAAGGCTGAGCTAGTAGACTCAACTCACCACAGAGGTGTTAAGGCCAGACATGACAGGGTCGTGAACTTCGCGGCAGCGGTTGCTCTCATCCTCACAGGCCGTGATGAGCTCCAGCACCTTCTCCGGGTCCGTGGCCGTCTTCACATCTGACAATCCCTTCGCCCAAGCTGCCGAGCTCACCAGCCACATGAAGGTGAACACACACGTCACACCAAAGTCCTGAAATGAAGAACAAGACGTTACAACCTTTATGTACCTAATCATACACAATATTTTTGGTATCTCTTTGAATCAGTTTAGACAGTATAATACACAGCGAAAAATGATAAGGTTTACAGAACGAGCAGTTTAATTTCCCTACAATTAAATAATACTTTGTAATCTGGCAAAATATAGAACAGAAGGAACTCACGATCAACGGGCCCTTGTTGTTCTCGCGGTATTTCTCGAAGGCAAAGATATAGATGCTAAGAGCTGCCGTGGAGTACAGGAAGGCAAAGACACCGATGGTGACAAAAAACTCAGCGGAGGAGGAGTAGTCGCCCACGAGGAAATAACGATCAGTTTGGCCTCGCTTGCAGGAAGGAGCGTCAAAATAGACTTGGTGGAGCCTGGAGAGAAGTAGAGGAGTTAGTGACATTGCCATATTTGCTCTTTATGGTTCGAGTGAAAAAGCTACAGTACTGTGCAAAAGTCAGAGGCCACCCTTCATTCTTTTCCAAAGTTCAGTCTTAGAAGTTGGTTGCATCTTCTACTTCTTGCAATCCAAGTAATCCCAAATGCATTAAATGATGTTGAGGTCGGGGCTCTTGAGTGGCCAGTCAATTGTTCTGAGAACACCAGCAGCTTCTTTGTTTGATTTGCACATTTGCTTATTTCTATTTCTTCGTTTGTTTCCTTCTGTGGAGTTGTCTTCTCATCACAGTGGAAGGATGGATAGAAACAGTTGAGGATTTTTTCTTTCAGATCATTCTCTTATCTCTCAGAGATGAAAGCTTGTTAGAAAGTATTGTTAGTGACAGTTTCCTTTGACTTTCCCCTTCCTTTTGCAAGGAATGCATCTAATCTCCTCAGAAACATGTTCTGAAGAAAGAATAGCTTGTTCTTAATGGCCCTTTTGACTGGAAAGTGAATGAATGAAGGGTGGTGGTCAGGTTGCACGGTACTGTGCTTAAATTTGCTTCATCTACACTATTCAAAGAAACAATGTGATGCAGTCAAATTCTACATTTTACATGTTATCATTATGCTATATTGGGCTATGGCTCAGAATATTCCATCTACCTGAAGGGGTATTCAAAGTCCACGTCTATTTTCAGGTTACTCTCTGATCTGTTTCTGCACTCCACACTCATGCGAAACATGCCTGAGTAGCTCCCACAGGTGGAAAACGCAAAGATGGCAAACACCTGAAAGCAGGCAGAGAAAGCAGTTTATGACATCTGTGAAAGCTGGTATGAAGACATGAGGAGCAGTGCTGTTAAGCCACTGACACTGTTAAGACACAAACCCAGCATTCTCGCTGTGTTTCTGTGGCAACTTGAGAATGTTCTCCCCTATTTATACTGTTCTAGAATGTTCTCCCTCCATACACACCGTTCTACAGTTTTCTCTCACCAATTGCACTGTTGTCTCAAATGTTCTGCCCCTTTCACACGGTTCTACAATGTTCTCTTTATCCACACTGTCCTACAATTTTCTCTCACCATTCACACTGTTCTAGAATATTCCGCCCGATTCACAGTTTTAGAATGTTCTCACCATCAAGACTGCTCTAAAATGTTCTCCCTCACCCACACCGTCCTACGCTGTTCTCCCCATACATGTCTTACAGTGTTCTCCCACCATTCGCACTATTCTAGAACATTCTGCCCCATTTACACTGCCCTATGATATTCTCCTCATTCACACCGTCCTACAATGTTCTCCCACCATTCACACTGTTCTAGAATATTCTGCCCCACTCACACTGTCTTAGAATGTTCTCACCACTGAAACTGCCCTAAAATGTTCTCCCTCACCCACCCTGTCCTAGAATGTTGTCCACCATCCACAATGTCTTACAGTGTTCTCCCACCATTCGCACTATTCTAGAACGTTCTGCCCCTTTCACACTGTTCTACAATGTTCTCACCATCCACACCGTCCTGCAATTTTCTCTTACCATTCACACTGTTCTAGAATATTCTGCCCCATTCACCCAGTCCTAGAATGTTCTCCACCATTCCCAATGTCTTGGTGTTCTCCCAACATTTGGACTTTTCTAAAATGTTCTGCCCATTTCACACTGTTCTACAATGTTCTCCTTATCCACACCACTCTACAATGATCTCCCACCAGTCACACTGTTCTAGAATGTTTTGCCCCATTCACACTGTTTTAGAATGTTCTCACCATCACGACTGCCCTCAAATGTTCTCTCTCACCCACACCATCCTACATTGTTCTCCCCCATCCGCAATGTCTTAATGTTCTCCCACCATTTGCACTATTCTAGAATGTTCTGCCCCATTCATACTGCACTATAATATTCTCCTCATCCACACCGTCCTACAATGTTCTCCTACCATCCACACTGTTATAGAATATTCTGCCCCACTCACAGTGTCTTAGAATGTTCTCACCATCGAGACTGCTCTAAAATGTTCTCCCTCACCCACACTGTCCTACAATGTTCTCCCACCATTTGCACTATTCTAAAATATTCTGCCTGATTCACTGTTCTAGAATGTTCTCCCTCCATTCACACTGTTCTAGAATGTTGTGCTCCAATTCACACTGTTTCAGAATTTTTCCTCCATTCAGTTGTAAAGTGTTCTCAATCATTCGCACTGTTCTAGAACGTTCTCCCCATCAAGACTGTCCTTTCTCACCCACACTGTCCTAGAATATTCTCCTCCATCTACAATGTCTTAGAATGTTCTCCACCAATTTACACTGTTCTAGAATGTTCTCCACCATCCACACTGTCCTAGAATGTTCTCCCACCATTCAGACTATTCTTAAATGTTCTCCCCTGTCCACACAGTCCTAGAATGTTCTCCCCATTTCCACTGTTCTAGAATGTTCCTCCCTATTTACTGTTCCGGAACATTCTCCCCCTATTCACACTGTTTACAATGTTCTTCCCATTTGCACTGTTCCAGAATGTTCTCCCCCATTCACACGATTCTAGAACATTCTTCTTCATTAATACTGCTTCATTTGGCTTGACAGTTATTATTTTGGAACAGTGCAAAGCCAACTGGCAACACTAGAATGCTGGTGTTAGCTGAGGAGTGTTGGGTCAGAGTGGCATGGCATTTAAAGGTATTAGCATCAATAAAATTTCTTTAATTGTGAATTTCTTAAACCAGTGAGGTGACCAATAATTGGGCAATGACAACATAATGACCAGTCACTGACCGTGACACTCGTATGTGTTAAAAGATTGAACCAACAAATTACTAAGTGACACTGATGATTAATGTTTATGATTTAAATTACATCTCTATAAAGCATCGCAATTATATTGCATGCTTCATATACATATGTGTCTACCTGGATTTATTAGATATGATCAATCCCTGACATCCTTAATGATTCTGTTCGAGCATAAGAGTACATGCAAAACACTAAGTTGAGAAAAGCCTGTCTGTTCACTGGAGAATATCATCATACGACAGGCATGAACATGATTTTTCCTGGCCTGGAGTAAATCTGAGAGATTGAGTCACTCATGGAGATTACATGCGGGTTGGGCCTGGCTGCAGTTGAGGGATTGAACAGAGAATGGAGCTATTAAATTCCACAGAGATCCTCCGCCATCTGTCACACCGTGGAGCTGGCCTCCGGTCAGATACGGCCTCACGCGCCACCACAGGAGATCAAAAGCAGATAACCATGCCAAACCACTTCAAAAGCAATGAACCAAACCAGGTGAAAGCAAATGCAACTGCACCAAACCAAACATACCACAGACCACACCAAACCAGAACAGCTGAATCCAAAACCAGCAGCCAAATGAAACCATAAACTATCCAAAGCAAAAGAAATATACAAATTATACAAAAAAAGTAGAAAACAACAAAAATGGAGAAGGATTTTGACGACAGCAATATATATATATATATATATATGTATATATATATATATATATATATATATATATGTGTGTGTGTGTGTGTGTGTGTGTACTTTTAAAATGTATGAATATCTACCATTTGAACATACAAGGTTTTGCTCCAACAGTGATGATATGCGTGTATCTCGTCACTATCAGAACAAAACCTTGTATCTCCTAAATGGTAGATATATATATGGACATACATACATATATATATATATACACATACATATATATATATATATATATATATATATATATATATATATATATATATATATATATATATATGGTACACAAACGTGGTATACACACTAATAAAATAGATTAAATAATGAATCACGGATTGTAAATGACATCTAAAGCATTTCATCATATTATAAAATGTTAAAGTTCTTATAAAATATTAAAGGCAATTCAGTAATTTTATACTAAACACTGCTAGTAAATTATTACTTAACTTACATAGTATTCTTTCCTCCTCCCTACATGATACATGATTAGAATAAAAATACCTTCATTCAGGCAGAAGATGAACTAACACTGAAGAACCACCAGATGCCACTACTACCCCAGAGATGCTGCTCCTCCCCTCAGCACAAGACCTTGACATGTCAACATACTTTTGTGGGCTGCTATAAGCTGAAAGCAGTGTACTATTGGATCTTCGGATGACAGGCTGCATTCGAGGTATGTCTTATTTAGTCATCACACCATGCTTGCATAAGCAAACACCTGGCCTATGAGTCAGAAAAGATGATGTATAAGTGGATGAGTAATCTACAGTATGAGGAGGTGCATTAGCATTATCTAAAGCATCTAAAGTAAAGATGCTCATTTAAGTTTCTGCATTATCCAGGTCTTCAGGTTTAATTACTACAACTGATAACAAATATAATCTAGGCCTGCCTCTACGTTTCATATGTTTTAGCACGTTTCATAACACTCAAGTGGATGACACTAACATAAAAATGCAGAATTAAGGAATGAGATAAGGTTATTAGAGTTGTACCACTGGCACAAATAAAAGAACACTTACCCACTCCAGGACTTTGATGAAGCCCAGGGGCACTTTGAGCACTCTGAACTGTCCATTGGCAACTAACTGTGAACAGAAAACAAACAGCATTTCAAGTATTAAATTCTTATTTAATAGCTGGAACGAAAAGTAAACATGACCACAAATGACCACAGTTGATGCAAGTCTGCTCATCAGCAATGACCTCCAATTTATTTGTCTAACCCTAGATGACTTTGTGATTATTATTCATTTTGAATATTTTAATCTGCTTGAGGACTGAAAACTGATATCATTCTGATAGCCAAATAAGGATCTTCATAGACTACCACAATCTCCATCCTGCCAGATCTGATAACCCTTTGGGCAAATTACATGTTTTTTGTATTTTGGGAAGGTGCTGTTATTTTTGCAGGGTACAAAACAGGCCAAATTACTGTGGCAGGTTATGTTGACTGATAATGTGAGCGGACAACATTAAGAAATCAAGCTGTAATAATAGAAATGGCAGAATTACAGGCCACTTTAAAAAACCTGCCCCTCTCCTCTCTCTTGCTCTCTCTTTATCTATCTAAATCATATCAGTATTTTGCCTTTTTAAATCTGTGATGTCCTCTAATGCAAATGCCCATACGCTATCCTAGCTGCTCAGGCTGTAGTAAGCAAGTACCAATATTTCTATTCTTCAACCATTTTAGTAAGCTGAACTGACAGTTGGGATGGAAGCACAGTGTTTTTCCGTGTTTTATTTTTCAGTTTTTAACCAGGTTTCAGCATTTTGCTCAGTCATCTTTAGATTGGTCTTGATCTTTGTTTTTTTTCCTCCCAGTGTGGATGCCTCACATCAGCCAATCATTGCAATGACTTTTCAAAGAGACTCACTAAATTTGACCCACATCAGCTTTTAGAGGGCGCTATAGCCTACAAACTAATTCAAAATCATATTTGTAGGTTGAAGACAAGCAATGAGGGCGAATTATTCATTACTTGTGAATGAAAAGCTCTGCAAACTGACATTTTGACAGCAACTGTTACTTTTCATACATTCTTATATGTTTGTGTACTATTCTAAGATCAAACTACAAGCCCAGTATTTGCCAAAATGGACATTTCAGACTTCCTTAGACACCCTTATCTATCTATGCTATTAACTAACAGGGTTACTGGACTTCCAAATTGAAAATGTGTTGACATTAAAAACATTGTGATGTATTTAAAACAGTGCATTTCAGTGAGTGAAATGTGTCAGTTTTGTGCACACAAATTAGGTTTGTTTAGGTTTGTTAAGGTAATAAAGTCATTGTATACTGACTCTTCACTATTTGACTGAATGGAAATGTGTGGCATAATTGAATTAAATTCAAGTTTTTTTTAACGTAATCATTAAAAAGTGCAACAATCTGCTAAAGTGTCCCCTCCTGTCTCACAGTGATTGGACCCCAAAGATCGCTGCTTCACAATATATTTAACAGTTTTCACTCAATTAGATTTTTTAGTTTTTTTTTTTGTCTACACTTATTTTGCTTTCTTGAGGATGACTGCATTAGCAACAACTACTATTAGCTGTATTACAACAATGACTCAACAGGTGAGGCTCGAGGGCAGAGAAATCCCCAGTGAGCACCAAATATTTTAATGGATGGAAAGTTCAGCCTCACAACCTGTTTATTCTGCCAATATTATGTATTTATTTTCTAGTTTCATATAGCTTAAGCCTTCCCCACATTGGGTTCCAGCACCCCAAATTATTATTATCTTAACTACACAATCAATTTATTGCTCATGTTATTATTATTATTATTATTATTATTATTATTATTATTGTATTCTACATGTTATTCTACATCCTTTCCTCCCCAACATTTGGAACTTAGCATCCTCCTTCCAGATTGTAGGATCCATGTAGTCCTGTCTATGTAGCCCCTAACAGTATTGTGAAGAGTATTTCTAACTCTGAGTTGACCATTCTCTCTGTACATATAACTCACACATTAACTGTATAATACAAAAAGGAAGTACTAATGCTCAAAAATTCAAATTTCAAATTCAAAAATGCCATTTTAGTTGGATATTGTATATATTATAGGATATATTGGATAATTGACTGAGTCAATATACAAACACATTTATATGAATGAAGTAGGACAAGCTTTTCAAAAAGTGGGCATGCTGCTCGCCATTTTAGACAATGGAAAAGCTGGATTTATTTATTTATTCATTCATTCATTCATTCATTCATTTATTCCTAGTGTACTGTCTTAGCTTGAATTTTGTAACATTAATCTGAAGGCTATTTTTAACCACAAGCAGACCGCTGTTCTTCAGCACCACTTTTTTTTACTTCTAATCATCGGCACTATCAATAAATATCTTGCTTGAAATCAGCCAGCATTGCAAGATGGCCTTGTACATCTGGCACTTTCTGCAGATCTACTGTTTTTACAGTTTGTGGAAGTGGAATGTCTGCAGTTACTCACCTAAAATAGACTCTTAAATATTGCTTCAGTTTTGTCTCCGCTGATCAGTGAATATAGGTGAAAGCAGTTTGTCCTTGTATCCTTACAAAATATCTGCAGGTTTACATGAACTATTTTCAGAAAAGAGACGCCCCCCTTTCATGTTGTCTAAGCCAAGAAGCAAAGTATCACTGTATTTTTTGTGTGCTCTGTAATGCTTAATCGGTCTGTCTGGGTTCTCATTATTACAGGACAGTGATATTTATCATGCTGAGTATCTGATATCGTTCCAGGTTGTGAACTCTTGATGAAATAAACGATAATTAAAACACACACATTTGCACATGTGAATATAAACTATATCCAGCCTGAAATGCAGGCGCAGTAATCTTAATATGTGTCTGAACGGCTTATTGGTTCATGCCTGTGGAGGGTGGACTGATACTGAAGACTTAAGCATCGATACTTCCAATTCTGACTTTTTTTTCTTTCTTTTTTTCAATTCTGGATGTGAATTGGATGCTGAAAATCAAAAAAAAATTTGTTACAGCAAATGTACGATAGGAACTACTTTTCCTTCCGCCACTTCACTCACTGATGCATGTGGATATAAAATGGTAATAAAAAATAAAAATATACTAATAATAACACAAACTCTTTTAATTATAATGTGAGATGTCTGCATTTTCACAATAAAGTTCACAAAGAATTCCACTTTTTATGTGCACAAGTAGACCAGAAGTATCGGTATTAAAAGTAAATATTGTGATACATTATGTCACACTAACTCACAACATTCTTTTCTGATCATATTATGGATCATTATTTGGATTCGGTGTAGTGCAAGACTTAAAATCCCTCTCCAAATAGTCACATGAATTTCACATGTGAAAAAAACAATTCACATCTTAAAAATGTGTTATCACATGACAAAAAAGTGATCACATGAAAAGATATGATGTGAATTTGTGTTCCTGTGCAAAAAATGTGTGATCACATGTGAAAACTGGTTCACAGGTGAAAAAACATAATTACTGGTAAACAGAAACAAAAAACCCACTGCAGGATTTTTGAAGACCCTCCTGCATAATATCTGCACACTTTACATGTGAAGAATATGAGATTTTTCACTAAGGGATTCATTCATACACACTTAAAAAAAAAAGGATTGGCTCTATTTAGTACCAGGAGTTTTATACAGAACCATCTGCATGCTTCAATAGTTCTTTTGCATGGTGAAATGGTTCTACAGATTGATAGAAAATGTGTTGTATATGGTTCTTTATAGAATCTTTTTGGAACTGGTTCTGTATAGCACCATAAAGGGGTCTTCAATTTTTACAAGATTGACACTGTGACAACAGAAAAACCCTTTTTGGTGCTATATAGAACCATTTTCAATAAGGTTCAATATAGAACCATACACAACACATTAATCTGAAGAACCATTTCATCATGCAAAGAATCATTCAAGCATGAAATGGTTCTACACGGAACCACTGCATTTACTAAAGAACCCTTGAAGAACCACTTTTCAAGGGTTCTTCACTCTTCAAGCAACTCTTTTTTTTTAAGAATGCAATTTGCCATACCATTTTAAAAAGTGGCACTACTTTTTCTCTCTCCCAACCCTAAAAAATACTAAAAATCGTGATGCATATCGTGCATGTATTTTTGCCATATCACCCATCCCTAGCTTTAAAAATCGTTAATCACTAAGAAAACAATGGACGACAATTCTGGACAGTAGATTGGTCAATAAGAAAATGTTCATCAAGGGTTAATGGGTTAACTCGCATCACGGTGAAACAGCCCAGCCTTTAGCTCACATTGTGCCTCAGAATTCAACGCTACACACGAACAACAGTGTGTGAGGGTGGAGATGTGTGATCGGCCAATTAAACATTCAGAGGCAGATTGTGACGTAAGAGGGCAGATCAGTAGAGGCAGAGACGTTATAAATGAGGAGAGCGGCCACGGGTCCAAAATGAACGGGAACGCTCGTAACGCTCAACATGGCGTCTGTTTACAGAGAAAGTCCCGCCCTTCAAGAAAATGAGCCAATCAGCTTGCTGCTTACGCCTCGAGCAGGGAAAGCCCCCCCGCGTTCTGGGAATCTGCGCAAGCGCAGTAGCCTGAACTACCCGAAAAAGGGTGTTTTTTGTGCGTAATTGAAGCAAAGGATACAGACTATTCATGAGGTTTTTGTCAGATTTTATCAGTGACTTCAAATATGGTTTTGAAACGGCAATCTGACCTTCAGTTTCGAACATTCAGGTCTCTCCCCATTCAAAGAGATAGGAGTCTGGTCTCGTATGACTAGAAATAAACTGCCCGGCCGTGTCGCGAAGATGGCCGCCGAGTGAGCAGACTTTCCTATAAGGACTTTGGCAGAACACGACTGCGCTGCTCGTGCGCTTTCCCACCCGGACTGATCTGAACACGTTCGAAAAATAATAATAAAAATATAATAATGCGATACGATAATAACACATTAATATGCCCTACAACATGAGTACATAAGTCATTCCCCTGTGGTAGTCTGTATTAAAAGAGCGTGCCCTCTTCACTCCCTGATGATGTATCAGCATCAATAAAAACAACAAAATCACGGTTTTAATATTGGATTGTTTTCTATTCGGTCCTTTTTCACGACATTTCACGACCGGACGAAATATATTCATGCATTCCTGTGTATGATCCATTACTGATAGGTTAAGTGAGCATCCTTGGTGTCTTCGAATGGAAGCAAGGACTGAGTCACAGCAGCTGAGGCAAAAGTCAGCTGCCATTTTACAGAGCAATCTCTACAGTAACTGCATATAATAAAGGCCTTCTTACGATGGCTTTTGATGCTCTGCTTTTATCGTCTGCCATCAAGCATCACTCTGTTGCCACAGTTCAGCACCTGGAAATCGTTTCCCTCACATCCTTGCAGTAACTAGGAACCATTTTGTGATTTTTTTTGCTGACATTCAGCGACAACACCACCCCATCTAGAGACAGAAATGCTATAACCTTCACATGCAGTTGTAGAATAAATAGCACAGTCCTAACGACTGAGATGCTTTCTCAACACCCAAGGCCTGTCAATGCACGATATCGCCAATAACCGATAAAAATGTAGACATGTATCAGTGAACAGACAGAGCAACGGCAGGGCATTTCCCTTTTTACATATTTTTCCATAATTTAAGATACAAGCGCATCTCCATCGCTTGTAATCACTGCCTTGTCATCCTCCAACACCAAATCAAATCATACATTCACACAGCATCGAGATGAGAGCCATTCATTTCTTTGTGTCCAGATGTCCTACCTGGTTTACAATTTCCATCTTGGCTGCTTGCTCGCAGATAGTCGAAATAGAAGATCGGAGGGGGGAGATGCGAGCGGAGCAGGCGAAACAGCCTACACAGCGGAGGGGGCACAGGCGAGTCGCCGGAACAGCCTCATTGCGTCATACGCTGGGAGGAGGCGTGTTCAGTGCGCAGAGCAGAAGCAGGACTTTCACTGACTCACAGCAAGCGGCTCATCACCAATAAGAACCGGCTCTTAATTCAGCACTGCCTGCTGTTTTTCCCCAAAAATATAAAAATAAGTATAAAGTAGTTACCCATACAGAAATATGATATATGGCCATGTACGTGTATCAGGAAGGGTCAGGCATATAATTCAAAATGTATGTACATATATGTTGGGTACATAAATGTACGTATCAAATATGTGACATATATGCACAATATATGGATCTTACATATACGTCTGATAGGTAAATGAACACATAGACAATACATGTGTCTGATAGGTGAGTGAGCACATGCATAATATATGGATCATACATATATGTCTGATAGGTGAGTGAATACATATGTATAATATATGGCTCATACATATATGTGTAATAGGTGAGTGAACACACATGCATAATATATGGATCATACATATATATGTCTGATAGGTGAGTGAATACAGGAATGCTTCTGAAAAACACTGTCTGTGTGAAAACAGTTCGGCGCTGCATCCACAAATGCTAATGAAAAACTCTTAAACGCAAAAAAGAAACCATATATAAACAGGATCCAGGAATGCTGCCACCTTCTCTGGGCCCAAGCTCATTTAAATGGACTGAGGTGAAGTGGAAAAGTGTCCTGTGGTCCAAGAAATCAACATATGAAATTCTTTTTGGAAATGAACACTGTGTCCTCTGAGCTAAAGACCACTCAGCTTATTATCAGCGCACAGTTCAAAAGCCACTGTTCATGATGGTATGGGGCAGGGGGCATTAGAGCACATGGCATGGCTGACTGGCACATCTGTGAAGGCACCATTAATGCTGAATGATATATACATGTTTTGGCAACATATGCTGCCATCCAGATGACGTCTTTTTCAGGGAAAGCCTTGATTATTTCAGCAAGACAATGTCAAACCACATTCTGCATGTAGTACAACAGCATGGCTCCGTATTAAAAGAGTCTGGGTGCAAAACTGGCCTGCCTGCAGTCCAGACCTGTCACCACTGATAACATTTGGCACATTATAAAATGAAAAATATGGCAGAGACCCTGAACTGATGAACAGCTGAAATCCTATGTTAAGCAAAAATGGGAAAAATTTTGCTTTCAACACTACAGCAGTTGGTCTACTCAGTTCCCAAACACTTACAGAGTGTTGTTAAAAGAAAAGGTGATGAAAACACAGTGGTAAACATGACCCCATCCCAACTTTTTTGGAACGTGTTGTTGGCATCAAATTCAAAACGGGCATATACTTTTTTAAAAAACAATAAAATCTCTCAGCTTCAATATTTGATTTGTTGTCTCTGTATTATTTTCAATGAAATTTAGGGTTTAAATGATTTGCACATCATTGAGTTTTGTTTTTATTTACATTTTGCACAGCCTCCCAACTTTTTTGGAAATGAGGTTGTATGTCTGATAGCTGAGTGAACACATACGCATAATATTTGGATCATACATATATGTCTCATAGGTAAGTGAACACATATGCATAATATTTGGATCATACATATATGTCTGATAGGTAAGTGAACACACACAAGCATAATATATGGATCATACATATCGCTGTTGTTGGAAGAAAACCTTGTATCTCCAAAATGGTAACTTTATATTTATACAATAATATATTGTCATATATATACTTTATATATAACAATATATTCATACTTTACTTTAACGCACGTCAGTGGAACCAGATTTTTTTCCAAGTCAATTTGGGCTGTTTCTTTTGGTCCATTCATCAAGAAATTTACAAACAATGTAAAAGGCAACAGGTTTTTTCAAATTATGTCGAAACCTGAAAAACAACAAAAAGAATCTTAATTACTGATTCTTTTTAATCTTTCATTCACAATATTAGCAAAAATCTACCCTTTATTTAAGGTACAACAATTTAAAGAAAAAACTAGATCTTGTAATTAAAGAAAAAAATTTCTTAAATCTCTGTGTGTGACATTTGTTGGCACCCCTACAAATTCTTAAGAGTCAAATCTAACTGAAGTATAGTCTCATTAATATTTTATATTTTACGTTTACTTGAGCGACTGGGAGCACTTAAATGGTCAGCCATGACTTCATTAGGGAATATTTATGAGATGAAACACAGGCCAAACACAGGCTGGGAAGAGGACGTATGTCTACACTGACCCCACGCACAGTAAGGAAGATGCTTCAAGTGGACCAAGAATCTAAAAGGATCACAGAGGAGGAATTGCAGACATTAGTTAAGCCTTGGGGTCAGAACGTCTCCCAAACCACAGTCTGGTAGTTGTGGGGCTGTTTTCCTTCCAAAGGCCCTGGACAGTTCATTCAGATACATGGTATCATGGACTCCATCAAGTAGCAGCAGAAATGAAATAAAAACCTGACAGCCTCACCCACAAAGCTTAAACTGGGCCATAGTTCAGATCTTTCTGCAGGACAATGATCCAAAACACACCTCAAAATCAATACAAACATAGTTCACTGACCATGGAATTAAGGCTTTGCCATGGAATTAATGTTTTTGTTACTATGTTATCTGTTTGCTTTTATCATGAAATTGTTTAAAAAGTCTCAGGGAAAAAAAACGTCATGTTTTAATGATTTCGTTGCATAGCTTACATGTGCATGTTCAAATGTTCTCTTCATTAGGATAGTTATAAAGCATGTGGAAGAAACAAAGAAAATGCATAAAAAATAAAATGTAGCCGCCATATAAATATATATATTTGCCATCCATATATGAGTAATGCTTTCTATCATATATTGTTAATGTGTTACACATATGTTTGTATATGTTGATATATTGATGAAATATATGTGCCATATTTGAAAATGCCCAATTTGAAATATGTTTGCATATATGTTAAATAGATGTCTATATGTGGCAAATATAAGTTGGATATAAGGGAAATCCATACATGCTAATATCTGTCATATATTTGAAACACATAGAGTGCCACATATCAGATTTTTATTGAAAAAGTTGTTTTTACTCAACTTGAATCTTTTTTAGACAACAACAAAATTTATGAGACTTTTCAATCAGGTTTTAGGGCATTTCACAGTACTGAGTCTGCTCTTTTAAAAGTGACTAACGATCTTTTACTTAGTGCTGATTCTGGTGATTGTTCAGTCCTGGTCTTGCTGGACTTGAGTGCTACATTTGACACTGTCGATCATGATATACTCATTGAGCGTTTGGAACATTGTGTTGGGGTCAAGAGTTTGGCTCTAAATTGTCTTATCTCATATATTAAACATAGAACCTTTTCTGTTAACATTGGGAAATACTTCTCTTCATCTGTGGCCACGACATCTGGGGTTCCACAAGGGTCCATTTTAGACCCTGTGCTTTTTTCGTTATACAAGCTCCCCCTAGGCCAAATTATTCGTAAACATAACATCTCATTTCACTGTTACGCAGATGATCTACAACTATATTTACCTTTAAACATTGGAAATCATTACTCCTTAGGTAGACTCAATGAATGTATCATGGATATTAAGAATTGGATGACCCAGAGCTTTCTTCAGCTGAATGATAGTTTAACAGAGGTTATTTTGTTTGGTCCCCCCACAGTAACCAAGAGCTTGAAACAAAATCTGGGTTCTTTAACCCCTTTTATAAATCACAAGTTAAAAACCTTGGGGTCGTTTTTGATACCAAATTAAAATTTGATAAGCAAATAAATGCAGTGGTCAAGGCTAGTTTCTTCTAGCTTAGGACAGTCTCCAGGTTAAAATCATTTCTTAATGCTTCAGATTTGGAAAAGTCATTCATGCCTTTGTGACAGAGATTGGATTACTGTAATGCACTATATTTTGGAATTAACGAAGCATCCCTGGCTCGTTTACAACTACTTCAAAATGCTGCAGCCAGAACGTTAAGTGGTACGAAGAAAAGAGAGCACATTACTCCAGTTTTAGCGTCCTTGCACTGGCTCCCAGTGCAATACAGAATCCAATATAAAATGGCATTGATGGTTTTTAAATCTTTGAATGGTCAGGCACCTGCATATGTCGAGGTCATGCTTTGTATATATGCGCCCTCAAGATCTTTAAGGTCTGCATCTCAATCACTTTTAACTGTTCCTCGGTCTCATCTTAAACATAAAGGGGATCGTGCTTTTGCTGTCGCTGCACCAAGACTTTGGAATGGTCTTCCAAGTGACATCAGGCATGCTTCATCTGTGACTGTTTTTAAAACAAAGCTTAAAACACATTTTTATCGATTAGCATTCAGCAGTCGTTGAACTGTGGACTGAGGTCTGTACACTGTTGTGTGAATGTATGGTAGTGGTGTTCGGAAGGTGGGAATCCTTTTTGTTTTTTTGTAAAGCACTTTGGTTTTAAATGTGCTATATAAATAAAATTTACTTACTTACTTTTATAGGGGTAATATTTATTATCATTTAATGTTCAATAAAACCTTAGTCTACCTTCTAACTAGCTAGCTAACAAAGATTTGTTGTATGGTAGTCCTATACAACTATTTAAACCAATGTGAAACTGTCAAGTGTTAATAAAACAAAGAAAACATCTCACCATTCTTGCTAGATTTGCCATAATGCTATACTGAATGAGTCAGATGTTGATAAGTAGTTTCGCTGGACGTATTTCAACCACATGATTAACAGTGTACTGAGCAAGGCGACACACCCACTGTTTAGTAGAAACCCAAGAACCAATCTGAGAATTATAACCAAAGTCTGAGACAAGTGGGCATGGGTTGGCTCTAGCATTTTAGGGACCCTGAACAGTATTTTTTCGGGGGCTCCCATCTTGCTAGCTGATGTAGTGTTAAATCAGAGGATAACTAATAACAATGACAATTTGTTCAAATATATATAATACAATTGTATATTGCTTTAATTAATATTGGATGCTCTTTTGTGCTTCTAATGAGTAAAATTT